TTAAAAGTTTCTACCGGATCTATCTAATAGCGTCTTTGATAATATCTGCTGTTATTAACGCCATGACAATATGGTTGCTATTGTTGTTAAAAGATAAGATAATGTATTTTATGTATAATGGTTAATGTATTTTTATTATTTTTGAATAATTGTTCATTTTTCATGAAACTCATCAGCGATTTAACAAGTCTTTGAAATTTTAACGTGCTATTAGTTATCATTCATTTTATATTTAAGGTATGATTTTCTTGTAACCTGGCAATAGACTTATTATAATTCTATGGAAATATATTTTTCAGCATATATATTTTCTGTTTATTTCAAGTTTGGCTTTAACACAGTCGGTTAAAATAGTTGCGGCTAAAATAGGGTTCAGCTGTTTTATAGCTTCCCGTAAGATACTGAGGGAATAATCGATACGGGACAGAGTAATTATTCTATCATACGGAGAAGTTAGTCGAGATAACAATGATAACAAGTTGTAATTTTGTAAAAAATCTTTGATAAAATAAATTTGTTTTACATTTTTATCATTTTATATTTTATCTATTTTCTATGTGTTTACACTTTTATTCATAAAGGGAATATGTATATTGTATACTTAATTTTTAAATATGATTTTAAAAATGTATTATTCTTGAAGAACTTATACTTATTTAGAATAATTATGTTAAATCTAAGATGTTATTATAGATACTATTGTATAATTTTGTTGATTATTTTTCTGGTACTATGTTTTAATGTTTATTTAGTTTTATTTTTTTCAAGAGATGAGACATCTATTAAAGTAAGTTAATCTTTGAATTGATCGTAGTGTTATATCATTATAATTGTTTAAAAAGTATAATTTAATACAATTACCCAAGTATATATAGTATATATTTACTTTTTTAAACAAAAATATATAAATTAATGATTTCAATTTTTCAAATACCTAATGTATTATGTAAAATCAATGATCTTGAAATAATTTTATCCTTTCAAAATAAAATAAATCATATTGATTCATAAACTAATTTTGAATAGCTATTGCTTTTGTTTGCTGTAATAATACTTAATAAATAACAATAGTAAAAAAAAATTGTGAAATTGAAATTTTAATTATTAATTAAATATTTATATTGGCCTCCAGTGTGTTCAACGGATTTATCTAGCGCTGTTATTAGTACATTGTTTTAATCGGTTTGTCTTCGAGGGAATTCGATTTGAAGGAAGTTAAATTTTTATTTTCATCTTCTGAACAAAAAAAAATTATTTTAATTATTTTTAATAATTAGTAAAATTTTAATTTACTATACATTCATACCTGATTAATATTTTCTTATTGATAACCGTTTTAATTTCTAACAAATAGGTGTGAAAATAATATTCAATATAATAACTCATTATGCGATAACGAATCACAATCAGCACGATATTTCTTTATCTTGTATTGAATATTAATTGTTTGAATAAGTAAAGTTTTTTTTTTTGTGTTTAGGGGATGAAAATAAACATTTTTAATTTTGGTTCCCTCGAAGACAAACTAATTGAAAAAAATTTAATACTAACAGCGCTAGAAAAATTTTTTGAACACGGTGGGACACATTGTATTATATACCATATGAATATAGTCTCTGTGGATCTTTTTGCACATTTATTTGTGTTATTTCTAAACTTTAGATAGCACCTACAGTAAAATACAATGCAACTTATTTGGCTGCTCAAAATATTTTGAAATCATTAAGAATACTTGATAAAGATTTTGAACTTCCAATAAAAACAAGTCAGTCAAGTATTTTGAGAGAAATTAATATACTTTTAAGTAATTTAAAGTTAAAAATCAATGGAGATATTGATTTATATAGTTCAACAATAAATGTAAGTACCTTATATACATTTTTGAAAATATCCATTAATATATATATATATATATATAACTTATTTATTTATACTAACATGTTTTAGGTAATTAGTTCTAGGTTGTAAATTCAGTGATTTTGTATATTATATATAGATAAATCATATTCAGAAATTAATATATTAATATAAGTAAATATTTAAAAATTGAAGTCACAACCATTTATTTGAAATTTAATTTCTATCTATGTATTATATTTATTCACATACAATTAAACCATAGTATCTTACTTGATGAGTACTATACTATTAATCCATTCTTTAACAAATTAACTAAAATGATTTTGAAAACATTGTTTAATAATTTTGTCATTTTACCGAAATTGCTTGTTAATATTTCCGAGTAACTTGTAACATTCATTGGTGGACTACAGTCAGTAGAATTAATAAAATGTCTAATATTTGTTTTAGAATATTAATATGATTATTTTGATAGGTGATTAATGAAAATGGACTTATGCCCCTTTATGGTTCACCCTATCTTGGATCAACTATAAATTTATTAAAAACATCAAAAATAATAAAGACATGTTACTCTATTAAAGGAACTCAATTAAAATTATTACTAACATTTGAAAATAAACAAGAAGTTTTATTTAAACCAAAGTGGTAAGTGTTTTAATAAAAACTTAATGTGTCTATCTATTTTATAGTTTATTAGGTAGTATAAAACTTTTCATTGAAGGGTACATATTTTGAATATTATGTCTGGGTTACTCTTGGAGTATGTGTTAAGACATTTTTAATTTAAATTATTACATTAAAAAAAACGATTTTGAGTGACATCCAATACAGTTTTAGAGTATTGAGTAGGTTAGGTTATGTTTTTTCTTTCTGTTTAGAATACTCGATTTTTTTTTAGATTCTGAGCAGAGTGAGGAATGTATTGGTTTTATAATGTTTGTTTTTTTTGTGGATAACTTTTTTATCAGCAATTTTGTTCTGATTTACAATAATAACATTTTTTCTAAAAGTAATACTAACTAGAAAGGTACCTTAAGGAAGTCAATTTTTGAATTTCACACAAATTTTCCCAATAAATGGGAAAAAAATGAGAAATAGATATAATATTAGGCAAATATTACTAAAGAAAATATATGATTGCCTATGCAATTATTTTACCATAATATGACATATATATTGTTAAAAAACAACACTATTAACTGAACTTCACTCAGAATCGTTTTTTCTTTAGCTATGTTTGATTGGTGCCTATACTGATATACATTAAATTTCCCCTCTACCTTTCTAACTTCTAACCTACAACAGTGGTCCACCCATGTGTGAAGTATACCTATCTTTTTCATTTTATCTTTCGATAGTTTGATACTTAGGCTATAGTATACTTTAGATTAAAAATATAAACAATGATATGCATAGCATAGAAAGATAAGAATACAATATCAAAGATTTAAATAGGTATACTAGCATATAATGTACAATAAAAATACAGGTAAATATGATAAAGTTAGTTCCCTAAAGAGATCACATTTTATATACCAAATTTAGATTTTATATTGATAATGTAGTAGAGATTTAATGAAATATCAAGTTTTAAGGGAATTTATTAAAGGTGTTTGGCCTGTAGAGATATATGAGAGTTGAAGGGGTTAGGCTTTAAGGATTGAAAGCATGACATAGTGTTGGAGGCTATTAAGTAATTATTAAGGTCAAAATTTGAAATTGGTGTAAATGCTTCAATGATGGCATAGCATTGGAGTGTAAAGAAGGAAAACAAAGAGAGCAGGTTATTAGTAAAAAAAACATGTAGTTCTCTGGAGTATAGAAAATGTAACTAGCAGAAAGGGGTGAAACTGACCCATTAGTATAGACAACAATGAGATTAGAGAAATTTACATTAAAATAGTTTAAACAATTTATAATTACAACTGAGTTCATACTCATTGTTTTATGATCTGTTGAAGAAAGATCTGAAAATATATTTCCAGACTAAACATAAAGAGTAAAAAGTAGAAATTCATATGATTGTTCATAAATTGAGGGTTTAACTGAATTCATAATATATGGATAGAAATCTGCTAAGGAATTTGTGGTAACTGATAGGATGGGCATTGATCTGAGGATATAGTGCCAATTGAGATACAATGAGTAATAAATATTAAAGATTAGGTGACTACAGAGGCCTAAAAATTTCACTAGAAATTTACCTACCAGCAATCACAGGTATCTATTATTGAGATGTTGGCAAATATTGTGTTTTATTTTTGTAAAAAATACCTTCAAGTATAATTTTAATCTTTGATTTTGTTGTTTAATGTTTTTAGTTAAGTTCATATGCTTATAGTATTGTTGAACAGTTTTATTTCCCCAAGTTAGGTTAGGTAAGGTGAGGAAAAAAATGCACCTACTTGTAAAATTAACATTTTCGTTTCTGTCAATCAATCTAAAACAATGAACTCATAATTACTGAAATTGCATAATTATTTCCATACCTTTATAAATAATAGTTTTTTTTTTTTTACTTAAAAGGTATCTAGAATCTGAAGTAATTCATGGTAATGTATATGCCGGCAAAGATCGGTATAATGGTGAAATTTTAGCATTTTATATTTCTCTCATTCTTGGTTTTCCACGGGTCCCAATTGTGGTGAAACGAATTTTAGACTCAACGGAATTACAAGAAACAGCAACCATTGGATTAAAAAAAACCATGTATATTAACTGTAAGTGTAACATTGTAGTAGGTACTTGTTGGTCAATATTTAAGACAATGGAATGATTTTTTTAACTTTTAACACTCATTATCTTTTATTATTTATTTATTTAGTATATTATTATTTAATATATAAATATTATATTTATTTTATTATTTCTATTATTTACTTAAATATATTATCATACATACAAACATTTACTTAGACAACAAAGAACTGATTTATTAAAACTATTAAAAATATTATAATATTAAATAATATTATACAGCAAGAACAATATCATAATGATATATAATATACCTAGATATACAGACAACATTAAAATATTATAGATAAACATTTTGAACAAACTACTAACTGGTAATATACATAACAATATTTTTTTTTTTATAATTTTATTAGGTACATATTAATATTCATAATTATATAAATCAAAGCACGCAATACACAAGTGAAATGTGAATTGAAAATTATAAAGAAGTTAGATTTATAGGTACCATTAAAACTTAATTTTTAATGTTTTTTTCATTGTTTATACTGTTCAAAAATGGGTTACAGTTTGGTGTGTATAATATTTTTTTTTCAGTGTCTTTTTCTTGATACTTCAAATATTGATGTTTAATTAATTTGTCAATCTCTACATTTCTAGTATTGGCTGGATTTTCAATTGCATATTCTTCAAATGACCATACCCTTTAATTGAGTGCCGCTTTTTATTGGGTAGTAGATAATTAGTAAAGTATTATCATAAAGATGGCCAAGGAAATAAAAATGATTTCAAAATTAAAGATAGAAAACCAGGAAAAATAGTACATTTATAAAATAATGCTTTTATTATTTTTAATTTGGTTTTTTTGATAGGATTCAGTTAAAAATATTCATAGAAACTTGAAATTTGGACAGAAAATTTATATTTCCTTTTTCTAGACACAGTAAAATTATCAAAGAATTTTAGTCATTTTTGTGTTATTTATAGACATTTTAATTTTTAAGATTTTTTTTATGTAATTTTATTTGTTAGGTAGCCTGCAGACGAAATTTGACCCAACAGAAATGGTTGAAAATTTAATAGTAGGTTCATATTATAGGACATACTTCTTGGTCAAAAATAAAAATAAAAATTGAGTGTAATGTAGATTTTTTTATTTTTTTTTTTAATGTCAAATTTTGAAGAAAATTGTAAATAATATGGCCTTTATAAAACTTGTGTAGCTAAATTCTGCTCAGAATCGTTTTTCATTAGCAATGTTTCATTGTTGCATACAGATATACTTCTCTATATCCTACCTTCTTAATTATCTATCTAAAACAGTGATCCATACATTGTGGGAAGTATGTCCGTCTTTTTGTTTTTTGGCATCCAGACTGCAGCTTCTGTTTGTCTTTGACCTCAAAGAAAGGGGGTAATTATGAGAAATTATGACTAAAATTACCTAAAAATGAGGAAGCCTACAATAAATGTATCTATATTTTTTCTTTTATAAATAATGACCACCCTAAATTATGTATATCAGTCTTAGAGGGGGTTTTGGTGGTTAAATCTTGAAATTAAAATGGATCTTAGTTTTAAAAAAAGTATAAGTTTTCTTTTGAATTTCAAAAGTTGAACCCCAAACACCCTTCTAAAGGGCTGTAAAATAAATGTACAAATTATTTTAGATGTTTATAAATCAAAAAAACTTCTGTATTATATATTTTTTACTATATTGAATATTTTTATCAATAGTAAATTGGATGTATTATACATTTTTAATCACCCTTGATTTTATAATGATTTTTATTATTATTATTTGTTTTTATCTGTAAACAACAATTTCTTTTTTATCAGAAATCTAGCATTTTCAAATGTAGCATTTTTTTTTGAAAGGTTTCTTTTTTTTGATTTTTTGTGTTTTCATAATAATTGGGATCATTGATATTAAATGCACACAGTGTGTCTATGGCATGTAGATGAAAAATGTCTATTTTATTTTAAATTTTAAATTAATATAATTTAATGTTCTGTGTTGTTTGGTAACAATTAATTAGTTAATAAATAACTTTTGAATATTAACTAATTATTCTTCAAAATTAACCAAACTGTTATGGTTCTTAGTTAACAGATGGCTGAAAATAAAAACTGTATCATTAAAATTATTAAAAGCAAATTACATTCTCTTAATGTATTTTGTGTGCTAATGTATATGTATACAGCACAATAAATACACATATTGCAATTTAAAAATAAAAAGTTAGTATTATTTATGTGAAATTTTATAATTAATCTTATATCCTCCCTCCAAATTGATTTTTGATAAAATTGCTACCTATTTTTTTTGATCACGAGTGTTTTATTTTAAAAAAAAAAAATTATGTTATACATATACCTAATTTTTGTAGAAATGTACAGTACATTTATCAGTGATTCCCACTACTTTCCCTTTGTTGGTATTTTTAATTTTAAGGGGGCATTGAACTTAACCTAATGATTACTTACTTAGTATCACTTATATTTTTATAGTTTTTAACTTGCTACAATGAAATTTATGTAAACTACTTTAATAAAAATAATTTAATATACTTGTTACCTATACCTACCTTATACTTGTGTATAAATGGTGTAATATAACAATATAAACAACTATATTATTATCAATATCTATGTCCAGAAGTTAACATTTTTTTATGAAATTTTTAAAAATCTAAAAGGAGCATGGAGTAAAAAAAAAAAGATTGGGAAACAGTGACTTATATCAATTGTAAAATATATTATTTTGTATTTTTGTCTTATATATATCATTATGTTGCTCAAAATATATTTATTTATGTTTAGCTACAACAAAGGAAACGTGTATTTATGGAAAATGTTATTATTGCAAACGTGAAGATCCCATTTGTACAAAAAGTTTACGTTTGGAGGGAGCAGCTATATTTTATCTACCATCATTCATAAATCTTAAACAATATTTGCACCCTTGGCGGAGATCTTATAAAGAAAACCAAAGAACCAGGTTAAATTAGAGAATTATTGTTTTATTTATTATTTAATATTTTTCCTAATATAATGTTCATAGACTCTCTATTATATGTACATCCTTTTATTTTTTTTTTTACAATAGGTACCTATCTATATTAATTCTTTTACTTTTAATGTCCAAACCTATATTAATTAAAACCAGTTTGAATTTTATGGGACATCTATCAATATATTAGAATTAATTAAATGATCTAGGCTTGTAGGTTTATAGTAGATACTCTTCAGCCCCTCAAATATACTAAATATGTAGCCAAAAAATATGTAAGTACCTAGGTAGGTATAGGCACAAATTGGGTAATGGGCTTGTTGGGTATGGAGCCTCTAAATCAAGTCCTTATCAAATAAATACTAAATATACATAACCAATACTATGGGGTGTTAAGCCCTCCCCCCAAATATTTGGGCTATTACAAATTGCTCGTTAACCTATACTAAACATTTACTTAGTTCAAAGTAACTATAAAACAAACATAAAACCCATTGGCGGCCACCCATACAAAAATGTGTTGTTGAGGATATTTCTGAGGATCTACCTACCTAATTTTGTAATATATATTAGAAGTGTTAATTAGGAGAAAACTAGAATACATAAAACTTGAAGAATAATCAACCTCATTATTAAAAAAAACATTTGTTTTAGGTGGGAAACTGATAACAATTTTTGTGATTACATTAAAACAAATTATGATCTTGAGAGAATTTTGGATTTTATTGACATAGCCATGTTTGATTTTATTATTGGAAATGGCGATAGACATCTATATGAAGTCATGGAACGTTTTAACAACTCCATTCTTCTAATAGACAATGGAAAAAGGTATAGATCTTAAAAATTATAGGTGCATAGTACCTACAACTAAAGAAATAAATTTCAAATTATTTATAGAACTTATCATATTCTATGTTTTTATTTATATATATCATAGGCCATTTTTGCATTGGGGTAGCCCACTTGCGAATTACTTATTACTATTTTTCCAAATGGTCTACTGTTTTTCAGGCTTATTGTATATAGACTAGCAGCAGTTGGACCTTTTATGAATTACAATTATTATACAGCAATAACCATTTTACTTATTTTATTTTAAGGGTAATTTTTTTTTTTTTACAAAAAAAAAAATATTAGAATTATTGTAACATGTAAACTGAATAAGTATGGTACTAATCATATAGTATTATATTTATTTTATAAACTGTACCAGTGAAGTTTAGATTATTTTTAAGTTTTTGACTATTGTATTACTAGTTTTATTTTATATAACAAAAAGAAAATATGTAAAATATTTATGTAATTTTTACATGTTTTTCGTAGCATTTTGAGCTGTACAGTTCGTTTATTTTCCTTTAAGCTCATCTATTTGTTTTGCAAAAACATTTTTGATTACCCTGCTCTCCGAATTATTAATGTCTCTTTGCCGTTTCTCTTAATGTTTTAAATTATATTCGATACTTCAGCAAGAAATTCTGTATTGGTTGATAGTAAAACATTTCTGCTTAACTACTGTTTACAATGCCAAACCATGTACAATTTGGTAACATTATTTTTTTTGTCTACAACTTTGCATATAATATTTGAATGTTTAATGGTCCATGATTTTTTTTTTGAAATATTGATTAAAACATAACTTCTAACTTCAATTATAACTAATTTCTTATTACTAACTTTTTTGATGAGCTTAGCTCATTTTTTTTGCAGCCTTTTTTGTTCTTCAAAAGCTTATACTTTTTCTTTTTCTTTTATACATCTGTTGCCCAAAGTTTCTTTGTTTATGATAGACACTTTAGAATTGCACTTAATACAGCCATATATATTATTATTTTTGTTAGTTTTTTCTTTATCTTTTTCACTATCTTCTTGTGACTATCTATTTAATCACTTACTTCAGTAATAATTAACTGATTTAAATCTTCTTTTGTCATAATAGACTGCATGATATCATTATGCAAATCTTTGCTAGAAAGTCCTAATTTTGGTTCACTTTCAAATAATGCTTTATAAGAGTTTCTGTTAATTATACAATGTTTTGATATGATAAAAACATTTTAGATAAAAAAAAAATGTTGCACAAAAAAAACCAAATGTAACAATAAGTAAATATTTTTACATACTTAATATTGTAATATTTTTTGTAATATTTCGATTTAATTTAAAATTTTATAATTATTGATTAAGAGTTTAGCAAAGGGGCTATTGATTTTACAATGCTATTTATTTTTTTTTAATTTCATGTCTGTGGATACTTTCCCTAGTAAACTTGCTTTGATACATAAGTGTAACACTTTTTCTGAAAGCTCAAGTTGTACATAGAGGTTGTTTATAAAAATGTAATTTTATTGATTTTCATTTTTTTAAATAAAAGCACTTAAGTGGGAAAAACTTAGAAAAACATATAATTTCACAATTTAATTATTTTATAAAAATATGGATGATGTTTTTTACCAGAAAAAATGATTTAATCAAAAAATCACAAGACTTTTTTGTTGTCTTTTTGAATTACTTTTTCATGGCATAATCACCAAAACTGAGCCATTTTTGAGCTTTTAAGGAATTTTAATTTTTAGGAGTCTTTTTGCTGTAATTTAATTATAAGTACACCTGGAGACTTGAAACTTGTAAAAATACTTAGGTTGTACTTACTTAGACGTGGTAAAATTTCTAAAATCATCATCTTTTTTTCCTTTTTTAAATTTTTTACAATGGTACCTTATTTTATTTTTTTATACCGTGGACTACTTTTATGATAGGAAATTTGCTCTGATGTATAAGTGTAGCACCTTTTCTGAAATTCAATTTTATCTACTAGGTAAATACATATGTCATTTTTTGATTTTCGAGAAACAGTATTTAAAATAAAAATGGTGAACTGAGAAAAAATACGATTTTTTTCACAATTTTGTTATTTTAAATAAGTACCTACCACATTTTCTAGCACAAATATGGCTCCCATTGAAAAATGACAAAAGACCTTTTTTTTTATTGAATTATTTATTTTGTTTGTTTTTTGATTTTCGAATTAGTTTTCTTAATAATCGGGAAAAAACAAGAAAGTAGGGCTAAAATAAATTACGGCACTTTAAATTATGTATTACCAAACTACGCTCTGCATTGTCTTTCATCAAGCAATGGGTTATCCTTGTTTAAGGGTATAAATGAAATAACCTTATGTATCCTACCTTCTCAACTTTTCATCTATAACAGTGACCGCTCCCATCCCCACTATCAGCTCTTTTTTTTTTATTAGTAGTATTATTAAATACAACTAGTAATACAATAGTCAAAAACTTAAAAATAATCTAAACTTCACTGATACAGTTTATAAAATAAATATAATACTATATAATAAGTACCATAATTATTCAGTTTACTTGTTATAATAATTCTATTGATATTTTCTTTGTATAATTAATAAATTACCTTTCAAATAAAATAAGTAAAATAGTTATTACTATACAATGATTATAATTCTTAAAAGGCCTAATTGCTGCTAGTTTATATGTAATAAGCCTGAAAAACAATAGGCCATTTAAAAAAATTATAAGAAGTTCACAAAAGGGCTACCTCATTTCAAAGAGCCTATTCTTTTTGCAAAGACTAATTTTCCATATGGGCTATATATACATATATATTTATGCTTTTAAAATAATGTGTTAATAAAATAAATATTTTGAATAGTTTTGGGAATCCTTATGAAGATAATATTGATATTTTAGCTCCACTATATCAATGTTGTCTGTAAGTATTATATTTTAATATTTAAATATATTATTTTATTCAATATGTTTATTTTTATTACAATTTTATGACTAGTATCCGTCAGAAAACTTGGGATAGACTTAAAACTCTAAAAGGAGGGAAGTTCACAGAAATTTTACAAAATATGTTGGATGTACATGAAACCATATCTTTAATTACATTACCTCATTATTATGCACTTGAACGAAGAATGAAAATAATTTATGCCTCTGTTGTTATGTGCCAAAAAAAATCAAATGAATCAATATTTAAATAATTATTGGCACAATTTAAATAATTATATATTATGTTAAATTATTTTTTTATTTAAAATTTATTATTGTTCAACACTTTATACCATAAATTAAATACCTATATTTTAATTATTTAATGAGTTTAATTATTAATAAAATATTAAGCACCAGTTCAACTTAAAAAAAAAAAAAAAATAATAAAATAGAATAAATACACATATTATTTGTGATTTATTTAAAAAATGTTTTTTCTTTGTAATGCAGATTATTTACTTGAACATAATAGTAGTATAAAAATTATCTGCATCAAAACACGCCATTGAACAGTTAATTTATAAATTGTACCTAATTAAAAACTACAAAGATAATTGCAAATTTAGTTATAAATTATAGTTCTGTTCTTTTTGAGTTAATGTTTACATTTTTTAATAATTAGATACAAGTATTGTAATGAAAAAAATATGGCTTACTTTTTAGTATTTTAAAAATTTAAATTGGTATTTTTAACTTTAAAAATCTATTGATTCTCATACCTTTTAGTTGTTTTGATCCACTATTTATACATTAATATGTTTGTTAGTTTAGTGCAGACTTAAATGGATTTTAAATAAAGTCTCAAAAGTACTGTTGTTAACATGAGAACATTTTGCGATTTTCATTTCTTATATTTAATTAGTTTTTGTAAATTAGTTTTTTATATTAATCTGTTTAGCTACTAAATTAAATATAAAGAGCATATAGACTTTTCTATATAATATACCAACTCCACTTATGGTTACCCCATTCAATCTATAATTTTAAATTAATATCAAAATACAATATTTTTAAATTTAGTACAATAGTACCAACTTTGAGGCTACTAATATCTGTCAAATCACTTTGGTGCTTCTTATAAAGGGTCATTATTTTGATGACATTTTTTACCAAATTTGACAATAGCATCAGTAATATTGTCCGGGAGTACTTAAATTGTTGTTGGAACATTGGCATAGACTTTATCTTAAATATAGCTTCATAGAAAAAGTCTAATAGTGTTAAGTCCTACTCAGTTGAAGTCTTAATTTTGAGAAATCACACATCTAAGAAATTGTATATTATGCAGTAGAGCCATTGTTTCAAGAGCATTATGGCAAATTGTTTCATCAAAAACAAATATCTACATCCAAAAAATCAATTTTAGGTAAAACAAAATAGTCAAGTCAATATGGTAATGCAATCCATTCAGAATAATGGTAAAATCATCAACATTTTTGTAAATTATGGCCCAATTACACTACATTTTTTATGTACATAAAAATTAAAGATATATCAATATATATTTATTAAGATATATCTTTAATTGTGATGTATATAGACAGATGAAAATAAGCCTAATCACTCAAGTGTAAATTTGTTAAAAAAGTTTTTTTACTATTTTGTAAAATTTCATTTTTATTATGTGTTGTGTATAAATCTAAATCTGATACCCTATTTGTTTTCGTCATTAAATATCACCATGATAACAGTGTATTTTATAAGTTCAAAAATGACACCTCTTGTTGATAGATTCAGTATTTATCAATTTGATGATATCTAAAATTTGACAGTTAGTAATATTATATTATTAGGTGTATCTTCAGAGTCCAAGAATATATTTTGATAAAATTTATATGGGATCATATATTGAAAATATTAAGTTATTCTTCAAACCAAAAGAAAACCATACAAATTGATGCACATTGAGTTATATGCAAACATGTATATAGAAAAATAAATATATTAATAAAATTAATACTGAAAAAGTTGGTTGTTTGTTACAAATAAAGGACAAATAATTAATCAAAATGTTTAAATTAAGTTTTAAAAAAATATTGGCAGTCTTGTTTAAGTAGTTTTGTTCTAAAATTCCCATGAATCAAGCCAACGCAATCCATACATAGTACTATTTTTTTCTGTGGATATTGGCCCTGCCATCCCATATGCTAGTGGAGAATATAGATAAAAACTGAAAAAAGATACATGAATATAGTTTAAAATAAATATGTGTACTTAAACTAAACAAAATTTACCTATAAATAACTGAAGAATAAATTATTCCAATGAGCACATCATAGACAGTTTTTTGTAAAAGGTTAGGTTTGGAAGTCTTGATAGTTTCTAATATATAAGTCATTGTGACACCTAAAATGTTAATTACCTGATGATTTACATTACTTGATGTAATTATTATTTCAATAAACTTTACCTGTTAACATTGAACTGTATAAAAATGCTGGAAAGTAGTGATGATAATAAAGAACTCGACCCATAGCATAAAATGGTAAATAGTGTAGACACCATCCAATAAACAACCAGTTGCAGGTGGTTAATAATTTTTGTTTAGAATCTTGGTCTAATATTTAAAAAAAAAAAAATATTAAAGAAGAATGTAAAGAATTAAAACAAAAAATTTCGCTTCTTACTAGTAACATTTTGATTATTTCTCCGTTTATCATAAGTAGCTTTACATATTGAAATCAAATTATATAATATCATTATTGCCAAGTTTGCCCACCATATGACAGGGTTACCAAGCAAATAAATCTTGTAATTGTTACCAGAAAAAAATTGACCCTGTAAAATTATAATATGAACATTAAGACAAAATTGTTTAGTAAAATAATAACCAAACCTTATAATTTATAGGCCACTGCCAGGGCCTAGAAGTAATTTCACCTTCCTTTGGTTTGAGACCAGAATTCCCTTGAAACATCACAGCGTGGGATTCTATAAATCTGGCGAAAAAATTTGGAGAATATACTTCAAAACTAACATTTGGAACTATAATCATAAATCACATTTAAATTATAATTATAATTATATCAATTAATATTATTTATTTATGACTAAATATAAACTTACGATTGGGATTGATATTATCCTCTACATTCCAAAATGAATTAGCATCTCTTAAATTTGGACTACATGTAACTTCAAGTTGTTCAAATGCCCTAAATAATTACATTTTTAAACATTTTAATACTATAAATTAATCCTAAAATTGAATTGTACATGAAATAATGAGACACAAAAATGTATTAATACATTACCACTTAGGTAATTGTTTATTTGATGCTGTTAGGACACAATGTTGAAGAACATGAACAAATTTTATTTTACTTATTACAGCCGAGATAACAGTATCTTCATTTCCATTTTCGATAAAAACCTTCCAAACATCGTTATAGTCACCAACACCCTCCTAAAGATTCATATTTTATTAATTTTCGGTTAATATTTGAAAATTGTTTTAATAATTATTTATATTATTTTTCATAAAATTATCGAAAAAATTGTTAAAGGTAATATTTACTTCACCATAACCAGTGACTTGGTAGTGTTTCTTTGTTATGGGAGCAGATTCACGATGTGAATGTAAATTTCGTCTTGTAGGTACATGTTCTAATCGTATCATATCTCCATGTTTTACAAATCTGACAGTATCATTAACATTTATCTTTTCATTATCCTTGTAGAATTTTATTAACCATCTATTATTTTCATCTTTGTGGGCATAGGTTGTAATCTAAATGTGTGTTAAGATTAAAAAATTAAATTTTTTTGAAAAAAAAAATACATAAAACATTTAATATATTTTACATACTTGTTGTTGCTTTGCACCAACATTTTCTGGGTACAAATGCCAGTGTGAATGTAAATATCCACCACCAGTTCTATGGTTTTTCAAGGTTACTATTGATCCAAATGCAACTTCTACATACATAATGTTTTATTATTATTTTTATTACTAAACAGACATTGTAGGATAATGAGTAGCCACTATTATAGATAATTTAATGTATATCTGAAAGCAAGGATACACCATTGCTTATGAAAATAAGGATTCTGAGCAGAGTTCAGTTGAGAGTGATATTGTCAACATTAAATAAGTAATTTTATAGTAAAATAATTAAAAAGGCTATACATATTTTCTTATTAATAATATTTGTTTTATGTTTTACTAATTTTCCCAGTTTTTTGTTGAGAAAACTCTAGCGAAAATAAACAAACGATCACTATAAAGTACCTCCTCAGTGAAATTTCCTTTAAGAAAAATTGCTATCATTATAAGTTGGAGCAAAATTGCTGGTAGAAAAGTTGTGCACAGAAAAAAAGAAGGCTGTAATATATTTTAACTAATATCTACATTTCTTATATTCTTATATTCTCATTTTTAAAATTTGATGAGAAAATCAAATAATGACCTTCTTCGAGTACTTCCCCACACCGATTTCTTTTCAGAAAACACTTAGAAATCCAAGCAAGTTGTGGTAAAAAAGTTGTTTAGATAAAAAAAAAAAAATAAATATCTTTATAAAACTACAAGATTTTTCACTCCATTTAGAATCTAAAAAAAAATTATATTGAATACATGATATTGTATTACCTTTTGGCATACTAGCATTGTGCAATGAGTTCCCTTGTAATTTTGATTGGAAAGCAGAACTATAAAATCCATCACCATTTCCACTTTTATTGAGTACAAGTAAGTGTATATAAAAAAATCCCACATACAGAAGTATTGGTAATACAATAAGACAGATGAACCTCGCTACAAAATGTTTTATAGTATAACTCTAAATCAAAAGCAACATAATTGTTAATAATGCTATTATGTGTACAAAACAATAGTATACATTACTATGGGTTTTGAAAGGTTTCCAAGTGTAAACCACAGATCAACAATAGTCATCAATCCAATGAAAATGACTTGAAATAATCCAACAAATTTAACACCAACACAGCAAGCCATTGTTATACCAGTGAAAATTAACCAAAACCACCACATAGCACTGAAGTCTCTGAACAAATTATTTTATAATGCATAGAAATTAATAAACATATACACACAAAAAAGAAAAAAAATATTAATACAATATTATGTCTTACCTTAACTTAAGTGATCTAAATTTACAAATTCCAACCAAAGTTGATAACATAAAAAAAAGTAATAATGGATCTAGCAAAATATATTGTGTTAATGTTAGTGTTCCAACATCTGAAAATAAATTTTAATTGTTAATAATTTATAAAATAAGTATTCATCAGCATTCGATTAACTTAACAGCAGAACAAAGAGGCGATTTGAAAGTCAAAATTTTAGAGGTGACAAATTTTGTACTTACAAATAATTAAGTATTTTCTTTACCAAAAAAAGTGTTCTCATTACCTTATTCCAATTATTTAATATATTTTTTTAAAAATTAATGTAAAATACCAACATTTTACCAGAGGTAATGTACTTATTCATATTTTATGTTGCTTAAAAAAAAAAAAAAACGAAAAAACACAGAAAACATTGTATCTAGGTACTCTAAATTAATTAAAAATTAATAGATCAGTTATAAATTTGAATCATTTTAATAAGTACCAAAATCAAATTTGATTTTTCAAAATACTTTGAGGGCCTTTTAAAACATTTCTCAGTAATAAATAAAAATATTATATACAAATTATTAACTTTGTGTATTTGTGTATGTTAAAATATTTCTTACTTCAAAGTTTTTACTTTTTATGGTAAAATTAATAAATTATAATTTAAACAGTATATATTTTATTTTCTCCACCCTTGTATTAATTATTATTTATAATAAACATGTTGTATATAGCATAGTTTTATGTATTTTAAAATAGTAAATAATTAAATTAATTAAAAATGTTTCTTTTTGGTTAGAAAAATTAAAAAAACGTATGCCAATGAAGGGATGGTAAATTTTTTTCTAACAAATTACTGAATCCGCCACTGCCATTTATTTAAAAATATAATATATATTTACCAAATAAAATTAATGTAGATGATAAGCTGGCTGCACTTAATGAATATGTCATTTCCCAAACAGAAATAAAAGTGAATGGTATTAATAGTCCACCTAAAATTGAACAAAACTATAAAAAACAAAAGTTGAAATGTTCCCAATACTACTACAATATTTATTTAAAATTTATGGTGATTTAACCTTTCTCATTCCAACATAATTAACATCATTATATTTGTCACCAGGTTTTTCAAATGGAAAACTTCCATTATATCCAGTCATAACTCCAGATAACGCTATCAGCATCTACTTGTAGAAGTAATTATTATAATTTATATTGTATATTTAATATAAATAAATAATACAACAAAATTAGTACTCACTTTACCGACTGGAGGATGCACATCGAAAAAAAATGTCCTGTTAATGTACCAACTACCCATTTTTCCAAAATGTGTTTCATCCCAGCTAAACATTCAAATAAATATGAAAAATATGTTTAGAAGAATATTGTTTTTAAAATTATGTAGTTTTAAATTATTTATAAATATACCAAACATGATCGGGTTCGTGTACTTTATATAATCGGGTTCCAAATGAAATAACTGACAACACTATGAGTGCCATCCACCATGATGAATTTCTAAAAAATAAAATTGTCTGTAACTAAATCATAATTTTAATATGGACTATGGATTAATATTTTAATATTATTTAATCTGTTATGGGGAATGTTACAATATAACAGACTCGGATAATCTAATAATACTATTTATGTTAGAGAATCTACCTGACTGATATTATCGTATTTAGGTCATGTGTAGAAAATATTGTATACAAATTATTAAAGTACATAGGTAGATAATAATTTGATATTCATTATAATTTTCAATAATGTTAATTAATATGCAATTAACATATGTACTTATGAAATACTATCTACATTTTAAATATAATGAAAAATATCTGTACATTTACCCTTTCGGTTCATCTATTTTTAATGAATGGTCAATAATTTGAACGGCCGATTTTACCATAATTTACGATCACACAAATTGGATATTTGTTTGTAAGAATGAATAAAAAAAATTGCATGAATTGCAACTTATGATCTAAACGTTCGAAGGATTCTATTGAATATCTAAAATATTATCATTAAAACAAACAAACAAAAATCTTATAATTCATTTGCATACGTCACGTACACAATTCTTTATTTTACAGTTATTACTTGTTACATTTATGAATTGTTATCTTATCACTGAGAAACTCTTTCTTTGTATCACGGCTTTCATATCATAATTTTCATGTTACTGGGATTGTACCACTTTTACCGAATTTTTTCCTCCAAAAGTCCAAACAACTAGTTCCTCTATAAAAGATATAGGCATAATTTTTTCTTCAGTTAAATTTATTCCAATTGAAAAAAATCCATATTGGTAAAGTAGAAAGATATCTTTTTTATTGTGAAATGTGATCAGTGTACTAGCTTTAGGTACCACTTTTCTGCTCGACCAAAACAAATGTTTATGCTCGCATAAAATCAAATGAAAATTAAAACATCTAGAAAATATCAAAATGTTTATAGACAGTATCGGTCTAGCACACCAAAAGCGCCCGAGAATGTTTTTTAGGTCCGTCACCTGGCACCCGCACCTTGGAATTTTTAAATCAAACCAACGCCATTATTTAATAAGGAATTCGTAATTTTTTATTGGTAACCTTTGTTTCCGAATTTATAACCTCTCCCAAACCCGTGAAAAATACCTCCGTAAATTTGTTAGTAAAAATTATTTTGTTCGTGCAAGAACAATTGGCACAATTGGTCAACTAAATGTTCACCATTTTCACCGAGTTTATTTTTGGATGAAAATAGTAATAATCACTGCATTATACGTAGGTACCAGAGTTTATTCTAAGGATTTTTATTAACTACGCATTTTGTTTAAATAAGCATATTAAAATAGAACTATAATCTCGAAATATGATTTCAAATTATAGTTAAAAATTGTTACATTTTTAGCTTCAAGGTGGAATGATTTAAAATTTAAGAAATAAAATAATCTTTTTATCGTGTATGGTGCTGGACTTAATAAATACTTGGAAATCATGTAGAACGTTTTTAATATATTTTATACAAAATTTAATTGCCTACAAAATAAGCTATGAGAAAATATTGCATACGATCAACCATTTTATATTTATTATAAAAAAAAAAAAGAAATAGAAATCATCCCGAGAACAGAATATAATAAATCTTAACTTAAAAAAAAAATTACGCGTGAAGCTAATATTTATTGTATTGTATGTATAATGTATTTTATACAACTCATCACGTATAATAATATGGGCTGAAATTAAATTGAATAAACATCATTAAAAAATTAATTTGAAGATATAAATCAAAACATTGATCAAGTTAATATTCATTTCCTAGCGTTGTTTGTTCGTTTAGCATCAGGAAACGGTCGACGATAATCATATACGGTTTGTATTAAAAATTGTTTCTGATCCTCATCTTTCGTTATCACATTGTTGAAGTCACTTATCAATTTAACGCGACGTTCAGCAGTATCATTAACCGCTTTCAAATTGTTAAATATTTCTAATCCCTTTAGGTAATTTAAATTTGTATTCCATACTTTAGGATATTGATCTAAAAAATCGGTTGTTATATTAAATCTCTGGAATAATTTATTTGAATGTATGTTTATAAAATCATAAATATAATTATGTTTCATAGAATTTGCCAAAGAGACTAGATATCGTTTTATCGAAATTTCAGCCGAATCGTCTGTATTTTTAAGGGCGTCTACCATTTTTCTTTTGGCTTTTATTGATATGTTTGAATCAAAAAACGCGAGGGCTGCTGTTTTTGAACTTAGGTACCACAAATAGCCAGTAAACTTTTTTAATGAACAATTTGAAACTCCAACATCAATATCTTTATATTCAATGAAGCTCTGAATAAATTCATCAAAGATTTTGATACGGGGCTTCTGTAGCAATGTGCGAACGAAACCATCTTTTTATGTAAATAAAAATAATAAAAATACACGTATCACGACATGCGGTTTCTTGTGTTAATGTCATATTGAATTTTTCCTCATAACTTATTTTGTAGACAATTAAATGGTGTACACAATGTATTTGCAATGTTTTACCTGATTTCCAATCGTTTATCAAATATACTTAAATATCCGTAAAAAAACAATTTTTCCGGATAAACGAAATAAATCATGTTTTATTTTTTTTTTCTTGGATAATAATGATTTTATCGAAAAATATATAAAAGATTGTTTATAGGCAATTAAAATATCTAACAAAAAATGAATGAACAGTTTTACCATAAAATAATACTTTTTTACTTAAACTCAAAAAACCATAAAACTACGTAATTTGGTCATTTTTCAACCCCCTTACGGCACGTGAAGGGGATAGGTTATCAAAACCATATTTTACCCAAACTTTTTTTAATACTACAGAACAAATGAGGTATATACAAATGAAGTACACTACCATGCGGTAAGCCATTTTCGCTGATTTCTCAATCTATTTTAATTCTGCGAGTTTTATTTGTAATTTTTATTCGGTTGGTACTGAGTGGTAAAATTGTTAGATTAAACAGAAATGCGTAAAAATTTAACTGAAGGTTCATTAAGAGTCTTAATTTAAAGTTAAAACAAAAAAAAAATTGAGTTTGATATAGTATTTTTTTTTATTAGGGAATTTTAACATCAAATTTTGACGAAAATCGTTTGAGTGGAACAAATCTAATTTTTAAATTTTTTGTTCATTTTGAACATATGTATATTGTCGATTTAAGAACGAAGGTGAAATCATAATTAAGCTGACTAAGTTTCGAAAATATAGGTTTTTGAAGTTCTGATATTATACGGATATTTTATGTTATGTTTAATAACTCTATATTGTCATTTTTGAACGATATTTATCGTGATTTAACAATTATTTATGCCTATTACCATCTTAGGAGTTCTTAGTTTAAACCAGTGTGTCGAAAAAAAATATTGTGCAATTTTTTCTCTTTTACCCAAACAAGGAAAAAACAAATTTTGGGTGTACCTAGAGACCCACGCATTGGACTATTTTAAATACCTCTCGATTTGTTGTGCACACTTTTCTACCAGAAATCTTGCTTCGATGTATCAAGTGTCACTTATTTTTTGAAAGGAAATTCTATCTCCATGGTAATTTAGGAAGGTCATCTTTTGATTCTTCAAGCGGTTGAAGCGGTTAGGTGTGTTTTAATGCGACGCTCATTTTGGTTTAATTATATTTGTATTGCTGGTCCTAATTTCGAATAGGTACCTATGTCAAAGTGTTAATAAAAATATATTAATTTTCCGATTCTACATTAGGTTAGATTTGAACAAATTTTGGTGTCCTATTTCTTTTCCTTAGACAGTTGCTGTAGTTCTCTAGTTCGAAGTTCTATTTTTATAAATATATTTAGTAGCATTACACTTATACAAGCAGACAAGCTGTTTCAATAGCATTCAAAATTCCCTCAGCACATCTTTGTTCCACTTGCCCTGCGCTCAAAAAATACCGCTCTTTGACTTCTTTTAATAACACGGTTTTAAGTATTATATACATTTTGTCCATCAGTGAACAATTGTGAACAATCCACTGATATTTTACAATGTAATGAAATAGTTATTATTTCCGAAAATTTTTTTTTTATTTAACTTAGTTTAGTAGTTTTCATTTTTAAATTATGATTATTAATAATAGTTAGTGTAACGATTGTTGGTTATCAATATAACAACATCGTACATCACTTGTTAAGTAGCACATGGCTAAGATGTTGAGTGTGCGAAATGGCAAGTGAATGACCAATGAATGCCAACTAGAAGTTTTTCGGTGCGGTTATATATATATAAAAGGAGTAGTAGTAGAAATAGTGAGAGCAGTAGCGGCAGTAGAGAATTCAGAGAGTTTTGAGTGTCCAAAGACCATCATCGGAATCACGATTCTTCTCAAGTCACACTCACGGTTGTCCGCTACTCATTATCCCATTGTTGACTCCACAGTAAAGTAAAATACATTATTATTATTTATTATCTATATTTGTGTATTTTTGTATAAGTTAATCCATTCTCGCAATATTAAGTATCAGACACCGAGGTTGAGTCCCTAAGACCTCATAAAAATAAACTAACACCCAACACAAAACCGCCTCGCAGAGAGCGGAGGGGAAGTGTAGAGAAGGAGAGGTTACATTAGGTATACAAAATGGATTTCTTATTGCAAAAATACATCACATTATACCTATAAGAACTACTTAGTTGTATTATATTTTATTTTTGTACCACTACCATGAAAGGCAGTATCTACTAAAATACAAATGTTGGGAAAATGGATTTTTCTCCTTTTTGTCTTATTAACAATATTATTCAATAATTTTTTGATTATTATTTGTAGTTATTTACCTTTTAAATCATTCTGGATAATTTTCTTTTTCCTAAATCAAACATTTATTGTTTATATCTTTTTTGACAAGATCAAGTAGACACTGCATTTGTGATTGTCAAAAATTATTACAACTACAATTAAAAAAGCAGTATCAACCATGTACATATTTTTTTTTTTTTTTTTTAAACATAACAACAAAATATTATATACACTATAATTTAACCTAGAGGTGACGGTATTACCGGTATACCAATATGTTTTTTCAAAACGGTATATCGAAATTATTTAATACGTCGATAACGTCGAACATACTGAAATTATAGCGTGTACCAATAATATCGGTACGAAACGTCTTATTTGTGCCAATGAGAAGCAGTATATAAAATCAACTAAGAACGCCACAAGGGTAGATACTTATAAATAGTTATTTTTGAATCCCTCATATCTCTTTCCGAATGTGTTAGGTAGGTCCAAAAAATTACTCAAACGTGCTATGATTGGGGTCACCATAGTGCCCAAAGTTCAATAATACATATAGACGAAAATTAATGGTTTCTTCTAATAAATTAGTTTTATGATAAGTTTTAATTTGATTATAATGTGAAATCACCATTTCCGTTGTCATTGGATGGGAGAAAATAATAAATAAAGTAACAGATAATTGTTGTAATATGCGACTAGTTTTAACAGCTAGAGACCTTAATTTTAATGAATATGTTGTTTCTTTATCAGTTGTATCAATATTTAGGATATCATCTATCATCAGCAAAAATCAGTTACTTTATTAATAAACTCTAAAACTTTATCATGACCGAAACAAAATGTTCAACCAACTGACAGCCAGTTTCTATCATATTTTGCAAGAATATTCAGAAATTAGGTACATAACACCAGTTGGTGAATTATTTTTTTACTGAGTGTCCAAATAGTCTATCGGATGTCCATATTTTGGACACAGAAAACATACTTAAAAATGCCTTACCCATGACCTATTGGTACAAACAGAGGTAAAAGATTCATTTATTTATCGTGATTTGGTTTTAATATTATAACAACAATGGTAATACATAACAGTTGTGCGTCAATACAATTTGCGAACACATACTACGTTTTCGGCACTTAAATTATATTATTTACTTACAAGTTATAATTCATATGTAATATAACTTCGACAGTATAATTTTATAATAAAAATTATCGTTACAATAATAATAATATGTCAAAAGATAATCGATAATATTACATTCCAAGTTAATGGTTTAATTAGAAAACAAAAAAATATCGTATATCAACTCTTTTCAGAAAAAAAGTCGCATCAATATAATAGTAGATATAGTTGAATACTGTATATTATATGGTAATTGAGGAATTTTGAACAAATTTGTCACGAAAGGATGTGGATCTGATGGTTTAAAAAAAAAAAAAAAAATTTAATTATTTTTCAACTCTAACAATGTGTTTTTGGATATTTATTTTAAGGATTTCTTATACAAATAAATTCATAATATATTTGGGTATTTAGGTATAAATTATTACAAATCGATGATCTAGTGCACAGGTGTGGTAAGTGAAATTTTTGGCGAAATGAATCTAGTACTATAGAAAATTCACCATTTTATTTTTCATAATAAAATGCACAAAATGTATGTGTATGTTTAATATTTTACCCACTGTATGGAATTGTTTTTTGAAATATGTACCGATTTATATGGAACTATGGAAGTATAAAATTTCAAATACTCCTACTGAAAAATGTGTCAAATTTCATTTACCACACTATGCCATCGATATTATAGTAACGGGTGTCGAAACTTAGAACTAAAATAAAGGTTAAAATGTACTAATATTTAATTAGAAATTTTTTTTTTTATTCATGAATGACGATTTAATCAACGTATGGGTAGGTAGGCATACTTAGATTGACCTGATAATAATATTGATTTTTTTTTTTTTTATTTATGAAACGAAGAAAAAAAGGTCAATATCCAATATTATAATTTTTGAATTAAATTAATTTAAGAATATTTAGGTAACGGTGTTCCTACAATCTAAATATGTATACAATCTACGACTGTGCAATATATAATATTGTAATACCGCCGCGAATTTCTTCGATAAGAATTAGTTTAAACACATACAAGTTTCATTATTATTACAGTATTATTGAGTTATAAAGAAAATTTTGAGGATAATGGAAGTACGGACATTTTTTAATTTTCGGCATCATACATCATGTAGGGCCACTGTCTGGTTAAAACTTTAAATTTTTTTGAGAAATCGTGGTAAAAATGAAAATTAATCAACATAACAAATAAATAATAATAATAATAATAATGTAAAATCTAATTATTCTTCACTCCATATATAATATTAAAAATAAACATAAGCTTTTATTGATACAATATAATCATTCAAAATTACAACATGAGTAAATAGCCTATAGCGGGTAAGCTGGAACAGCTTTATAAATGTTAATAATTATGACCATTGCAATAAACACGGGGAAATCATACTGGGCTATTATGTAGGCCAAATATATTATACTATACAGGTGCTTACCTATATAGGGAAAAAATTATAACATTGTAAATATTTGATATTTATAATAATATAATTATTATCAACACAATATTACGGGAATAACTTTTGTTACAATAATTATAACGAAACCTCGCTTAGTTAATTTTATACTACAATTAACTAGGTGTTATGGAGATTATAGACCTATTCAATTTTAATAAATTGACGATTAATATTATTCAGGTATGAATGTAGGTATGTGCCGGAACAACAATGAATAATAATAATACTAATAATAATAAATACTTAAATCTAATATATCATATTGTATTATAATTATACAGTATACTTAGATATAATATAAATTTGAAACATCAATATCAAATACAATATTATTAATTATTATAATGACGTAAAAATAGAATTACATTTCAGCAACGTCGATTTTTAACAAAACGAACGCACAACAATAAAATATTAGGTATAGGTATTTTATTAGATATTTAAAAAACCTAACAATGTAAAACAGATCTTAACCAGACACGAAGACATATTCAATATTATTATTATTATTATTATTATTACAGGGATCTATAGTGTATAATATTACGTTGCTAATAACGGTGAAAAAATTTCAACATAAGTACCAATTTAGATGTTTTGTGGGGAAACAGTGTATAATTGTCTATAGTCGGTCAATATCTAATCGAAACAGACAACTGCAACGTTGTAAAATTTTTTAGGGAATAGGAATACCTATCCGCAAAAATTAGTTTGTTTATTAATGCAACAGATAACAATTTACCTGCTGCGTGACGTGTACGAGCAATAGGTATTTTGGTTTTACATATTTTTATAAATTTACAGCCGAACTCTTGAAAACCTTGTTGGATAGCCAATTAAATTGATACGAGATTGAAGGCCAAATATTTGTATACGTAATATACGTGTAGGAGAAACCGGGGCAAGATTAATACGGGATGGGTGAGGCGGGACAGCTTGATTTCTTCATAACTAGCGATAGAAATAGTCAGATGATTTTGATAAGATCTCAATGATATCTGACTGACAGGATACAATATTAGTTTTTAAGTTTTCGTCTCACAGCTGGTCATTTCGTCAACATTTTTTCACTATTTTAAGATAAGAAAAATATTAATTTATTTTTATCAAATACTGTAATAATATATTTATATACTTTTAAAATTTAGTTTTGTTTAATATTATTAAATATTTATTAAGTATTTAATGTGTACATAGGTTAAATTGAACACGCCATTGTGAGACGTTATGAGACGAGTAATGTGTGATATGATAGGGCTGTATTATTGTTTAATTATTAAAATTAATAAGATTAATAATGAGATATTCGAAAAAAAAGTGTATTAGACATTTATATACCTGATATTACTTCATAGTTGGGGTAAGATGGGACAAATGACGTGTTTTATCTATCTTTTAAAGTGCAATATTTTAAATCTTGCTTTCATTTATTACGGAAATTAAGAATTTTCTAAACAATTAAGCAAAGTAAATATTAGGAGATTACAATGAGGTATCTCGTCTTACCCCGAGTTTCGTTATGCATTTTAAATGTGAAATGGAACATAAACTTTTAATTTGTCTCTTAACTATATTAAATTGTATACTTTGTATACTTAATATAGAAATCAGCAAAAAACATTTCCGTTATAATTTAAACTTTGGTTATACCTATTCATCAGTCATTTAATAAAACCTTTATTTTTGTATTCGTTTCTAATGTTGCCTGCGTGGCTCTATAATAATATTTTAACATACCTACGTTAATGTTAGAATTGTTAGAATGTTAAAATTGTTAACAATTATAATTTTTTTTTTTTTTTAAAACCAGTACCTACTAACAGCGTACATTTTTCTATAGTCAATTTAATGCCCGAATTTCTATAAATTATTATCACTGTAAATGGCAATAAAATTATTATATTAACTGATAAGTAATTTAAATAATGGGTATTAATCTAGTAAGTTAATGAAACCAGGCAGTTTTAAACGAACCGTTCTTCTCGATCTTATGTGCAAGGTTGGGCCAGTTAATGAATAATATTAAAAAAATTAAGCTAAGCTAATTGAAAAAGAACAAACGAGTTAACGCGTTAAAGGTTATACTTGTTATGTTGTATTGATTAACTGAGTTAAGTTAAAAGTAGTTTTGAAAATTAATTTAACTTTTAAACTTAAGGAACCGAATCAAACAATTAGCCCTTACCATTTTAATTTATTTTTATAATATTTTATCGTTATTTATATCGCGTTCCTCGATCTAAACAGAACTCTCCGGGCCCGGGATCCCGTATGGCGGGATCGACACGAAACACTGTTTCCCGTAGTTGGGCTGTATCATTATGTCGGGCGCCGCGTCCACCGCGGCACCGGTCGTCGTGAAACCGGCGGTGCCGCGGCCGTGACGATGCTGCGGGGTACGCGACGGGCACAAGTTCGGGTACACGTTTCTGCACTGTTCCTGGAGCGGTTGTTCGGACAGCAGAGTGTACCGTTTGTCGGGTTTGTCGACGTCTGTTTTGTCGTGTCGGTCGTCGGTGGCGATCAGGTTCGCCGCGATGGCCGTCGTCTCCGCGGTCGCCGACAACCGCGCGTCGTCCCGCCGTCTCCACAACAATACCGACGCTATGCAAATTCCCGCCACCGTCACCGTTATTATCATAACGCCCATCATCGCACTCTGACCGCTGCCGGACGTTTCCCACCAGTCTGCAGCGACAATAGAAAAAAAAAAAAAACAAAAAAAAACAAAAACGCGTATTATTATTATTATTAAATTGACATTTGGCGTGAACCATCACGACGGAGAAACGCGCGCGATGGGGTAGAGGGCCGGAGAGTAAAGGTTACACGGGGGAGATGCGAGGGAGAATACGATGTGGGGGAAGGCATGCGGAGTTTACGCGCGGGACGAAACGATAGATAGGGAGACGTGGGGCGCGAGAATGGGAGTAGGCGTAGCCGATTGCGTATGATGGTGTTATAAAGACGGTCGGAATGGAGAAAAAAAAAAAATTAAACTGTCCGGTTTAATTAAACATACGATGACTGTGCGGACGTGCCCGTATAAGCGAAAACGCACGTGGCCGCGTTTATCAACCCGGTGATAGCCAAACGCAGACGGGAACCAAAAACCGATAGTCGCTATATTTGGGATTGCGGATACTATGCACTTTGGCTCTCGCACGGTCCAACGGAGGCTTACGGGTTTCACACGTTATTCGTTATATCACACCGAGGCAACAGGTGGCACACCTAATCGTTTCCTTCATCCCCGTACGCGCACCTGTTGCCGTAGTCACCGTGACTGATTGCGTGCGGGCTGTCGTTTAACGTCGTCGCGGAATGCATTTTATGATATACCCGACACCGTGCACAGTCGATTCCATTTATTTATATACATACAACGATATTAGTACAGCAGACAGAGGGTGTAGGTTTTTGGTTGAAAGAGGAGACGGAATCGCTGTTTCCGTGTATCGTAATAACGAAGTAATTGTACGTGGATAAAAATAATAAGTAAAAATAACCGGGGATCGTGGGAGGAGATCGGGGGCTCACGAGGTCTTAGGCCCCTCGAATGTTTTTCAAGCTCCCCCCCCCCGGAATAATACGTATCTATTTTTAATAACAATACGATATGTATACACTGTACATATTGTACAATTTTTTTTACCGTAACATATTCTTACGAAATTCATACCTATACAGTGATGACTGATTATTGAATATTTTACGTTTTGAAATAGAATCTCAGAAAAAATTTAATCTGATATTAATCCATGCGTACATGTTGCATAAATAACTTACTATAGAGTTTCTAATCGGTCGTGTCTGACGAAACCGGAGAACTGAGTCTACTAATAAAATAATAACTGACATGGAAAACGGTGGAATTTTTAGAATACTGATTGAGTTATGTTTTTTTGTGTAGCTTTAATTGTTCATAATAACAATAAAATATTAAATATTAATATCCATAATTGAATAAATGCATTATACTTGAAATAAATGATTAGGTAAGTATGCAACATTTCTGTTGTACGTTTTCTTAGCCCCCGGCTTATGTGCTACACGATATTTAAGCTCCCACCTATGCCGGGGACATTCGATGAGACGAGATAAGACAAAAAGTCTACGCCGAAACGGAATTAGACGACACATGATAATGTGATAAGATTATTATTCTTAGCGGGGGAAAAAAATGGTCTTCTAAAAGGGGCGCTACCGCCCACAGTGCAGCTGGGTATATAATAGTACTGAATAATTTAACTGCGTCACCGCCGTCTGAAAATTCGTTTCAAATAATAAAACTTTTAAGATGTCTAATACGGTATACAGGTATGCGCTACATTATATACCCACAGATCCGTTCATAAAATACAGTGTGTCCCACCGTGTTCGACGGATTTTTGCTAGCGCTGTTAATATTACATTTTTTTCGATTTTTTGTTTTCAATCGGTTGGTCTTCGAGGGGGATACCGAGAAAAATTAAATTTTTATTTTCATCCCTTAAACACGATTAAAAAAATTACTTTATTCAATTTTTGAAAATTTTAAAAATGGCCATTTCGTAAAAAAATTTAATGTACCGTACATTCATATCCGATTAATGGTTTCTTAACTATAGCCGTTTTAATTTCTAAAAAAATAGACGCGAAAATAATTAATATTCAATAGAAGGTAAAGAAGGTAAATAATTACCGTGCCGATTGTAATTCCTTATCGCATAACGTGTTGTTTTATTGCGTGTTAATAATTATAATCACGCGTAATTAAAACGGCCATAATTAATAAATTATTCATATCGGATATGAATGTGTGTAATGTATAAACATTTTTTTTTTTTTTGAATAATATTTTATTATTTGTCGGAGACGAATCGAAAAAAAATCGAACATCGACAGCGCAAGAAAAATCCGTCGAACACGGTGGGACACGCTGTATAGTGTTTTTTTTTTTATGTTAAGTATATACGTAACGTTTCCCTTCGCGTGCACTTCCTGGGAGAATCGCCGGACCTCTATAACGTCCGGTTTTTTTTTAAACACGGCCCTGATCGATACTGTTTTAGTTTTAAGTGTTTATAATATTATGTTTTACCGGTCGATGACGTTCTCGTCGGCCCGGCCACCTTATTGGCGTTACCGTTCTCGTTCGTCTCGTTGTACCACCACGGGTGTTTCAACAGATATGCGTCGAAATGCAACGGCGGACCTCGTCCCATGCGATTGCTCGCGTACGCCGATAATCTCAAATACCTTCCGTTTCCGCGGTTGTCCGTATCGTCCCATTTCAGTAACAACTTCGTGCGGTTC